TGTCATCGGCCCACTCGTTGTATTTGTAGGATGGGGTTGGCAGAGGTGTGTCATCTGAATACCTGCTCCTCACAGACCTGGGCAACAGTATAACCAGCATCACCGGGTAGTCACTAAGCTGAGACATGTCCCCCAGCTGCCATCTGCTCTCCCAGCCCAGATCCCTTTGCCCTCCTCACGTCCACCCTGTGCCAGCCACCCAGAGAAACCGGGCTGCTCTGTCCAGAACATCACCTATCCCGATCACGACTGGACTGTCGATGGCTCCGCTCAGAATCCCGATAGGAAGGCGTTGGGGAGGGCGATTCCCACTGCGAGCGCCTTGAGGAGCCATAGCCACTGTCCTCTTCCTCCCAGGTAGACCTTGAAGGGGTAGCTGCATCTGGGGCCACAAAGAACATAACCACAGGAAACATCAAACTTAACCAGGACACGGCTCTAGAGCTATCAGCCAAAAGTCAATTCCCCAAATTTCTTTATAAAGTATAAACTTTCTTTCTGTAACACATAACTATTTGTAACAGATTTAACATGGTTTGGACAGTTTTTAAAGATACCTGGATTTTAATGGTCCAGTTTTCATGGGTTTATAACATTTTTTTTTTTTAAGTGTGTTTATAACTTTTGAAGGAACAGCCAATTTCTCTCAGCAAACATACTACTCTTGCACAATACTCTTGGATATAAATAATTATTTTTAATAAACCCTCTTCCCCAGCTCCCTATTCTTTCCTGCCATTTGGCAAACTGGCCATTCAGCCAACCAGCCCATCAGCTTAAAGGAGCAGATCCATCTCGACAGGTCCAGGGCCTCCCCATATGACTCAGAACCAAGTATTCCAAGAAGTTCACAGTGGAATCAGCAATTCTGACTCTACCCACAGCAAATCAACTGAGGACGGGATTCGCTCACCCCACCTTTTACACACTCGATCCCTCACAAGTCACCCTAAGTGACAGCTCAGTCTACCTTTAGGTCGGTGTCTCGGGCTCTCCGGTTCATTTCTTCTACTGCGCTCTGACCCTCCATCTCGCTCGGATCTGCTGCTGTGTCTGCTTCTATCCCGCTCATCTGTCAAGAGCCACACACAGAGCTTAGGGTCTATGTGTCGCATGCTAACTTCCACCCGTCTTCACCCTAGAGAAAGGACAGGCCTCCCCACTCACTCACAGGTGCAACCTGCACTGCTCTAATGCGATCCATGGGCTCCTGAACTCACATAGCCCCATTCTTTCAAGGGGTAAAAATAGTTACTGGCTAGAAAGTTTCAAACTCACAGTAACAGTTATTTTCCTGCAAGAATTCAAAAAACAATAGTTATAAGTCTACAGTGAATAGCTGTTTAATAGTTACAAGTCTATAAACTATAAAACTTACAACCATACTGAGCAAAACCAGCATTGGATTTTATGTCTAGCTTTGCTCCCCAGCACTGTCCTTTCTCTTTCACCAAAACTGCTGTAAATTCTGGTTTCTTATACGTATTACCCGTTACCACCTTTACCACCAATTATAATAAAATGAGGACCACACACTCAAGCAAAGCAGCTTTGTTGCAAGTAACAGTTCTTAAGCTGCCTGCTATTCCCAATCCTGACACAATCAAAACCAACAGGGCTCCCTAATTATTGGGCATTAGAAAAACTCCTGCAATACGAAAGAGGCTGACATGTTAATTCAAATGTTTAACAGGCTACAGGAACTACGCCGACCGGTTACCTCTGTCTCTCTTGCGGTCACAGTCTCGATCCCGTGATCTCTCTTTCTTCCGATCCTTTTCTTCTTTGGACGAGGCATAGACACCATGTTCCCGCCGCTCCCGCTCTCTCTGCCGATTGCGTTCCCAAAACTCTTCACTCACACCACCAGGATGGGATGGAGTCTCTACCCGAGCAGATCGATAATGTCTGAAACAGGGAGGGCAACTAGTAAAAGACCCTTCTATAGGAGAAAACCCTTGCCCCCAGACCTCTGGCTGGCTGACCTGTCCTTTTCCACTTTATCTCCCGACAGGCTTACTTATGGCAACAACCCAAAACACTTCTAACCCCCATCCTCTCTTTAGTTGCCTTTGACTGTTCCCCACAAATCTGAAGAAAACACCAATTCCTATCCACCTTAGATATTACAGAATCATAATAAAATCATAAAGGTCTACATATCCAACAAGAAAACAGAAATAAACACGCAATGTTATTTTCTGGCCGCCATTCTCGTTCCCTTTGCGTCAACCCATCCTAAAGCCTTTACCTGTCTTTTCGGCTATGTCGGCCAGCTTGGTCACTGCCCTCCTCCTCAGCATCCCTCTGGTCATCCTTGCTCTCCTCCCAGTCCTTGTAGGAAGAGATTCTGGACTTCTTCTTGTCCTCCCCATCGTCCTTCTCCTCTCGCTCCCTTCGTTTCAGGGAAGCTAACAAGTCCAGTCCCAGCAATGAAGGGCGGGGGGCAGGGGCCTTGAAAACATGCTGCTCACTGGCTGCACTTTTGGTCTTGCAAATAAGACCGCCAACCTGAGAGTCCAGATCAGTGCCTTCCAATCGATGGATGGAGGCATCCTCACTGATGTCCTCCATGACAGACTCTGGGATGTCTGTGGAAGGGAGACAACCCATTTTGTACTGCAGGTAAGAGAAGGTTCAACTCTGCTATAACCCAGGATAACTGTAGTTAGAAGTATATTCAGGGGGCTAACTACCCAACAAGATGAGGCTTTGTTTAGCTACCTCTTACCAAGACCTTTCCATTAAGTCAATGACAATCTCAAAAGATCCTCCGACTCCCACCCCAACACACATCAGAAATAGACACACACACACACACACACACTCGCACACCCACCAAACACCAGGATCCAAGAGGGTATCATCCAGGCAAGAACAGACCTCACTAAGGGACACTTGCTAGAACATCATAGCATCTAGAAAGGGACTGTAGGGGAAACACCACTAGATTTTAAGTCCAAATCCTCAATTAGAATGCAAGCTTTTGACATTTTCTACTTGTATGATTGTAAGCAGAAAAATTAATATTTGGTTAGGCATAATTTCTCTATCTGTAAAATAGAAATACTTTTTGTTTTATCTAATCCATGGAGCTATTGTGAGAATCAAACACTAGAGTGTATGTGAAAGCACTCTGTAAATACACAGTGTTACATAAAGGTGTTACATTATTTTACTTGCTGTGCTCCTATATACCAACTGGGGCTCAACATTTTCTACCTGAGTTGTTCTACTTCTCCCTCCCTTTAAACTACAGGTACAGTAGAGTAGGCAGATTGGGGTATAAGGCTACCATGGATGTGATCCATTCATTAATGGCTTTATTGGGACCAGTTGTGGTTGTAGAAAAGAATTACCTCACAGCAGTTGAAATCTATTTAATGACAATCCACGTTCACCAAAAATATTGATGAGAAACACTAGGTTTCGTTATGAAATGGTGTTCCTGAAAGTATTAAGGTGACTGTAAGATTTTCCGGCACTCAACTTGTAACAAATTCCTCTTTACCTCCCATTACACACCATTCACTTATAAACATACACTGATTTCTGCGTGCTTGGATAATTCCCCTTTCAACAAGTCAGTGAAGCAAAGGAACTGTCAAGGTGCAGGTACCACCGGAATCCAGAATGTTTTGCCCAGCTCTAATTAACATGCACGGCTCTATAGAGAAATAACGCCAAACAGACTGGACACATAATATGAACACAGACACAAGAGTTGCATTTTGAAAAATGCCATCAGGCAGAAGAGAAAAGGGAGAGCTGCATATTGGTGACATCTGTGTGCATGTGAGGAAATCTAAATAAGAAGGTAAACACATATGTGTTCTGGTCAGCAGTAGTCTGAACTAGAAAATATACTCCTATAATGGGAAAAAGAGAACCTTGTCTGTCTTGCTGTTGCTGTGCCCAGTGCCTAGCAAAATAAACGTTTGATGAATAAATGGATGAATGAATTTAAACTGACGAACGGAGAATGGGAAGCCAAACATTTCTAGAGACAGCAAAGGAACATACCAACAACCCAGGATAAGGCATCTGATCTGACAAGAGTTAATTAGCTGCTGAGAACAAATAAGACGTTAAGGGGCTGGATTCTGGAGAATGATAAATGACAAAGAAGCCACATAGGATAAAAAAAAAATTTTTTTAAGAAAAACTAGATTTACTCATTCAACAATTTTTCATTGACTGCCTTCCGTGAGCCAGTTGCTGTTTTGGGCAATAGGAATAGAACAGAGAACAAAACAGACAAAAATCCTCGGCTCCTAGTAGATGAGATCACCTAGTAAAGATACCACTATGACGGAGAAAAGGAAGACACGGGATCCCTACTTGGGCTCGGTCTCTGCCTGGGAGGGGACTAATGCAGAAGCCTGAGGAAGGGTGCAGGGTGACCCCTGGACAGCATCCTTGCACCTCCGTGAGGCCGCGCCAAGCAGCAGGATCTGACCAGATCAAGGAGAAAGGATGGAGAAGGCCTGAGCGGCGCAGCATCCCTAAGGTGAGAAAGGCAAGTTGGGTGACAGGGACGAGACTTCGCAAACCCGGGCAGGAACCTGAGCGAAGGACCGATATCCCCCGCCTGGAGCTGCCATGATTGGCGAAGGGCAGGTCAGGAAGGAATAAGGGACACTCACCTCACCAAGCCCGACTCTCGGGACCTTCTGTCCCAGATTCTGGGGCGCCGGCACCACCACCCCTCACTCAGACCGCCTTAGAAATCCAGACATAAACCTTAAACGCGGCCATTATTGTCCCATAATACCTTGCGCGATCCCCTCTATCTGTCCAAAGATACCATCGAGTGCGGCCCGGAAAACGCCGATTCCCCGCTCCGGTTGTGGGACAAAAAGCGACCAAGCACTCAAGGCTAGAGTGTCCTCCTCTGGGACTCGGCTCGAGACACTTCCGAGTCTCATCGCGACCAATCACAGTTAGTCTGAAAGGCAAGAGGAAAGGGAGGGTGAGGGGAGGAGGTCGGTCATGTTTAATAAGGGCGGAAGTGACTCTACGGCTTCCGGCCGAAACCGGGCAAAGTGGACTATGAGTAGAATAACCACTTCTGCTTGTTGGACTATTGAGGAGATCGACCTCAAGTTTACCTACTGCGCCTGTGCATTCTTTTCCGTTTCCGTTTTCTTAAGCGGTCCGCCGCTTAAGCCCTAGCGGCTGGGTTACTGTAGGTTGCCGCTGGCGTAGGAGTCGCTGGCGTCCCACCTTGTTTGGAGAAGGGGTCAGGGTTGCGGACAGTCCTGAAGTGGAAGAGAGGGAAGTAAAGTAAGTATCGTTTTCCGTAGCGGTTGTGGACCAGGAGTAGCCCAACCACAGGCTTCGTTAAATATATGTATGTTTATTTATCTTGACTATTTTGGAAAAAGAAACGCTCTCTCCTGTCTGTTCACTCGCAGAGATAACCACTGATGGTATTTGGGGGTATTTATTTCCAGTTGTTTTTATATGCAAATGTGTACATTTGTATTATAGTCAGGTTTTGTACAGCAGTGGGATCACACTTTGTATAGTTTTATAACTTCTTTATCATGAGAACTTTTCAGTATCTGAAATACTCATTTGTAACACAATATTTTGGCCGTGTAATAATATGTTGCAGGACTGTACTGTCGTTTTTCCAGTCCCCTATTTTGGGCCATTTAGATTGTTTCCAATTTTTCACCACTAATAATATCTTTTCTACATAAATCTTTGTAGACGTGTCGAATTAATTCTCAGAAATGGAATTGTTGCTCAGATGGTTTTCTTCCTAGAAAATTTTCTTCCTAGAAAACTTTTGCTTCCCTGCATTCCAGCGGGGGCAATGAAATGCGTGTCCGTTCACACTCTTGCATTATTGTTTCGCTTTACCAATTTAATGCCTTTGTCAAGTAATCTTCTAATTTGCTTTTCTTTGTTTACTAGTAAAGCTTAACTTTCCAAAGGTACAAACTTTGTCCATTTGTACCTCTTCTTTTGTGAAGTCTCTGTTGGTATTCTTTGCTATGAACATATTCTTAGGTGTGGCATCAGTTTTCCTCTCTTCCAACAATTATCCAGGCCCCTCGCCCCAGTGGACAACTTTGCCCTCCCCTCATTTCCTCCTCTTTATCAGTAACATACTGTTTGGTGTTATTTGAATTCCCCCTACCAGTCCCCCTGCTTGTGTTTCCTCTCTTGCTATGTCTCTCTCTGTCAAATAAATAAAATATTTTTTAAAAAAAATAGGAACTTATTATAGCAGAAGGAACACTGCATTAGAAATTTGGTGGCTTGGATTCTAGTCCTTGTTGTAGCTAGAACAAAAACTGTAAGCAAACAAGTCTGTGAAATGGGGGGATTGGATTAGATCCCTTCTATCTCAGTATTTTATGACTTGTTTATTTTTTGTGTGTGGTTGTCACACACACCCTTAAATGATCTGTTTGCCATGTGGTGAGGTGCATTTAGTAAGATATGCACCAAGAATCTTTAAGCCAGGACGCATGATAATACTCCATCAGTAAAAGACTTTAAAAAGTATGGTACAGGGGCGCCTGGGTGGCAGAGTCAGTTAGGTGTCTGCCTTCGGCCCAGGTATCGAGCCCCTCATCGGGCTCCCTGCTCAGCAGGGGAGTCTGCTTCTCCCTCTCACTTTGCCCCTCCCCCCTGCTCATGCTCTGTCTCGCTCTATCTCAAAGAAATAAATAAAATCTTTAAAAAAAATAAAACGTATGGTCCATGCATGAAATAGTATGTCGCTGTGACAGTGTGTGTAGGGATATGGAAAGATCTTTGCATGTTAGGTAAAACACTGCCAGGTGCAGAAGAGTGGGTAAAATATGTGTGCTGGACATCTGTCATTTGCCTCTTCAGCTCCACTCTTCCTCCTTCTCTAGACTGCTCTGGGACCAGGAGACTGGGCTGCCTTTTGCATCTCCCCTGCTGTCTGGTTCCAGTTTGAGTCAGCCAGTGGGCACATTAGCAGATCAGAGGAAGGGAGAAGAGTGGCTGCATCCCTTCACTGCAGGCTGACTCCCTATACAAGGGCCTTCTGCACCCCACAGTCCCCACCACACACTTCTGCTAACTGCTCCCTCCCATGGCCCCTTCAGGCCTAGGGGTAGGAACAGCACCCTGCTCTTACTAGCTGAAGTATAGCACTGCACCCTGTTGTCTTCGTATAATCTCTTCAAATTTGAGAATGTCATCTTTTTCCTGCTGGCACACTGGCAGATAGAATAGGCTATCTTTGGGGCAAAAGAGGGAAAAAACATAGGAATGCATATTGTATCTTCCTGTAAATGCATAACTAAACTGGAAGATAACGTGAGAAGCTAATGAAAGTAGCTACGTGGTGTGTGGGGAGAAATAGGCTAGTGCAAATGGGGCCAGTTGAGGGCAGACAAAGGGAGGGAGATTTTTCACAGTGTACATTTCTATATTGTTTGTTTTTAAGCTGGTGGACTTGCCACCAGCTTGTGCGTTTAGTGTTTTCTTTTTACTTTGATACTTTGTTGTATGAAACCATTTTTTCCTCTGGGAATAAAATGTATGTATATTACCTACTCCAAAAATTAAGATGTTTTTTTTTAATTAGGACGCATGCACTTACTTTGTCTTTAAATATTGCAACTGTATTTCAGAACTGACAGTGAGGATTACTATTTGGATTATTTCAAGATGAGCTTCTTGTTGCCCAAGCTAACTAGCAAAAAAGAAGTAGACCAAGCAATAAAAAGTACTGCAGAGAAGGTGTTGGTCCTCAGGTTTGGGAGAGAGGAGGATCCTGTCTGTCTGCAGCTAGATGATATAGTAAGTGAATTTTTTAAATAAATGGCTTTTATTAAAAATCTATATATTCTCTCTTCAGTATCTACAGAGTGCTTGGAAGGGAGCAGTCAGGCCCAGAGACACAGTTTTTCATTTGTTGGCACACTTTCACCAGGAGCTGGTCATGTGCCTGCCCTGAGCTGGGCCCCCAAGTCTCTGATTGTGCTGAATCTGTCCTAGATGTCCTTGCCCACCAGCAGCCATCCAAGTTCAGTTTCACCAACAAGGCCGTGGAGGACCAGAAACACTATTAACAAGCATCTGTGAACATTATTTTACTTGGTGCTCATGACAGTAGGACAATTACTATTCCCATGCGGGGAGATGATCGGCAGCCAGGGAGGTCGGGTGACGGCCCACAGGACAAAACCACTAACCTACAGAGCTGGGGTTTGAACTTCCATTTCTCTGCCTGCAGATAAGCTTTTCTTATGTGTTGCCTCCAGTGTGTGCCTGATGATAATCTCTGATTTCATAACACATCTTCATACTCTGATGAGTAGGGAGGGGAGTATGAGACAGAATGGGTTTATTCCTGTCTCTTTTTATTATGGAGAGAGACTTACCCCAGAACTGAGACCTCTTCCCAGCATCTCTATTGCTGCTACCCATGATGTGGATCCTGTATAAGAATCTTTATTACTGTGATTAAAAATGAGCGTGTGATATGTTAACCTGAGGGAGGAAAGGGCCAGAGGATTATACCCTCAGCCGTAGAGGAGAGGGAATATCATGGAGCCAGGCTGCCTGAGTTCAAGTCCCAGCTGTATTGTTTACTGGCTATGTGACTGGAGGCAGATTACCTCAGTTTCTTCATCTAAGAAATGGGGACTATAATAACCTCATAGGAATGTTGTAAGGATTAAATGAGTTAACAAGTGTAAAGCACTTAGGACACTTAGCACATAATAACTGCCATGCAAGTCTTCACTATTTTTATTATAATTATCATTCATGGGGGAATTGGAAGGAAAGAGATTTGGGGGAATTTCAGTGCACAGTACATACTTCTGAGTTGTTTTTGTTTAAGTGAACATGGATTTTATAAATCCACAAAAAGTTCATAAAACTTTACTACCAAAACCAGATTTTTTTTTTAAATGTATTTTTAAAAATGTATTCACACAATTTTCCCAGGGCCCTCTCACAAGTCTACCAACAGAGACTCAGACTCTGAATGATAAGGTTATACTGTGTCTGATGTGGAACTCAGGAGAGATTCTCGCCCCAGGAATTTCTTTCAAACAGAATATCCCAGTAAAAAGTTTCACAGAAGAAACCTTAGCTGCCTCTCGTATTGTGACCTACCTGTCACTCTCTGTTTGCAGCTTTCTAAGACCTCTTCTGGCCTGAGTAAAATGGCTGCCATTTATCTGGTAGATGTGGACCGAACTCCCGTTTACACGCACTATTTTGACATCAGTTATATTCCATCTACTGTGTTTTTCTTCAATGGGCAGCATATGAAAGTGGATTACGGGTAAGTTTGATTGACTTGATGTTACTATAGCGGTGGAAGTTTCTTTTCCCCAAGTAATTGCAGTAACTCGCCTACCTGCCTGTGCTGGTGGCTTTGTGAGCCTAATGTTGCTGCTCTTTGTTCAGCTGATGCACTCATTTGTTACGTGAAACTTGGGTGCAAAAAGAGAATTTCCAGTGCGATTGGCAGATTTTAACCTCCTACTGGAGCATGAAAGATTTGTACAATTTGGGAAGTACTAACCATCTTTCAGTGTAGAAAATACAGAACAGCTTTTTTAAAAGTTTCCCAGGAATTTCATTTAAAACAAAACATGTCAGTGTACTTAAACTTCTGGGACTGGTTGGCTGCATTTGAAAAGAAGTGTTCTAGCAAACTAAGACATGCTTCTCTCTGGCCAACTGTCCTCTCTTCTGCCACTCAGAAGGTTTTGAAGACATTCTTCAACCAACTCTGTCAAGAATAAGCACCGTGAAATCTTTAACACCCTCCACTGCATCCAGTCAGCATCCTAACACTTAACATGTATTTTCGGTGTGCCCTAGTTATCATTTCTTACTGTGGGTGAGGTGTCTGCTTGTCTAGATCTCTGTACCTTGTCTACGGCCATACCACCCTGAACGCGCCCGATCTCGTCTGATCTCGGAAGCTAAGCAGGGTCAGGCCTGGTTAGTACTTGGATGGGAGATCTCTGTGCCTGTTTTGTCATAATCTTTCTGAAAGTGCGTTAAATATTACCTGTTTTAAGTATTTTAAAGCTATTTATTCACCTAGGATACAGTTGATGTAAGTATTATTTTGGTGCAATCTTTTTCAAGGGTGATTTATGACACTATGTACCATCTTAAAAGTCTGTAAAATTTTGGGGGCACCTGGGTGGCTCAGTCAGTTGAGCATCCAGCTCTCGATTTTGGCTCAGTTGATGATCTCGACATCGTGGGATCGAGTCCTGTGTCAGGCTCCAGGCTCAGCACAGAGTCTGCTTAAGACCCTTTCCCTCCCACCTCCTC